AAAATATAATTTGTTGAAAACTTTCCTCTGATTTTGAGGTGAGATGTGGCCAAATATTTTAGGCTAATTTGTTTTCAAAGAATGCTTGTGAATTTGACGAACCTTGAGATCAAAATTGGCTACATTTTTACGGTGGAGCGTGATGTCTGCTTTTTCTAGCAAATGAAAACAAAGTTACACTGTCAACCTGTGACTCTGTAAAAATGATTTTTTTGATCACTTTCTAAATGTTTGTTCTCCTTTTCTTCCTGATGATCTTTCCTTCAAATCTTTTCATCCTGGATTCCAATCACACCTGGATATCCTCCTCCGTCGAACAATCAACTGGATTATAAAAAAAATAAAAATAAACCCAACAAAACGTCATTTCCTGTCCGCCGCCCATTTGTGTGCTGTCTCTCTGCTCCTCTTTCCTCTTCCTGCTCTCTGGAAAGCAAATGAAGAATCGTGGGCTGAGGGAAGTTTCTGTGTGCTAGTGAAAAAGAACAATCTGTGCCAGAGAAAGGTTCTGCAGCAGCTCTGCTGTAGAACATGTTCTCTAAAGGGCTGAAGGAACTTTTCCAGCTCCACTTGCCCCTCACGTTCCGCTAATTTATATTCCAGTCGGGAACCTCGAATATGGGACTACATCGTGAGGTTTCCCGATGCCAGAACTACAACAAACCTACCTTTATCTCTGTGTGTCTGTATGTGTGTGTGTGTGTGCGCTTGCGCGTATGTGTGAGTGTGTTGACAGAAGCTGTCAGGGTGGTGCGACTGGGATCAGTAATAAACAGCAAATCATACATGTCAGTATTTTGTGACCAAAGCATGGATGCCAAATTTTTTGTACCTTTTTCTTCGTTTTGGGTCCAAGAGAAGAATTTGGAGCGACATGCTAAGCGTTGAAGCGGCGGTTCTGTATTTTCCCACAGTTTCACGCATGATGATGACAACAATGATCAAAGCCAGTTTGTGCATATTCTGAAATAAAGCGCACTCAGAGAACCTCTCCGAGTTTCAGCAAGACCTCTGTGAGCAAAAGGGACGCACTCATAAACCATAGCACAGGTTCATCCACTGACCTTCATGACTGCAGTCAAATCAATAACTGACTCCGGAGGTACAAGGTACAATAAGTACTTCCTGAAGCGATAAGTATTGTACTAACACTAATGACCTGCCGTTTAGCCTCGCGATGAGATGAATGCCGTCACGTCAGGTGGTCTCACTGTTCTGAAATTCTTCACCTCAGGCTCATATCTCATACTTTTTTGCGTGCGTGTGTGTTTTTGTTTCATCATCGTTGCAAGTGGGAAAAATAGGTTTTCGTGAAACCTAAACGTAAGTTAGTGAGCCCTGAAGAATCGTTGACTGGGCTGAAGTACAGGTTTTAGTCGTGGTAGCTGAAATGAGGGTTGAAACACTTATCAGGCCTTTGATATATTTTTAAATAAATCCTTAAACATGCATTTTTATATCTCGCCACTTCAAAAAAACAACTCCACAATATTAATCCTAAATGATTCATGTGAAATAAGGAACTTTAAAATGTGTGTCCAGGTAGATCAGAGTCAACAGCCTGAAATAAATGCGTTTGGTATTACGAGGGTTTTATGTGTCTGGTTTCAGATGCTTTCCCCATAACTATTTATATTTTATTGATTCATCATGGAAATGAAAAGTTAAACTGCTCCATTTTTAATTGACTTGGCCACCTAAAATAATTCGTTATTCCAGTTATTTATGAAAGTAAAAAGTCTGTGATTCACATACTTAACTGGTGCTATTGACATAATTGAGTTATTAGAAATGGTTTTTGAATTCACATTTGTGTCTTGTTGGGTCCAACAAGTATTTGTGAATTCAAATCAAGTCTAGATTTTCATTTGTTCATATTAGCCATATTTACTGTATGTCCATATTGCAGTATCTTGGGAAACGGAAAAAAATATTTGAGGGGAGTAACGTACGTAGTAACGTTTTACTAAAGGTCAGAAACGAGGTGAAATGTTTAGTTATACTAATAGTACTACACAACACAAATTAGACTTCTACATTCATTAAGGACATGTTTGACCAATCCGCTTTTGCGCAATGTTAAGGGGATTTCTATGTCTTTTATTTATGAATGATGTGGTTTAAGATGACGTAGCCTTTTATTTATGAAAACGATTTATAAATGGGCATAGTTCAAATGAGTTGTGTTTTGTGGATGGGATTGTCCAACCACTTAATGCTAATTGTGTGTTCATGACACACACAAAAAAAGTTGTAGTATGATTGTACGTTTTCTGCGAACTCAATACATGCAACGTTACATAACTAATGTTATATAGGATTACGAGAATCAGTCTATGTTCAGATGTGTTACATTTACTCTGTTCTGGCAACGTTATTTCTTAATGTATATATGTATTTTTATCACTATTAACCTTAAATATATTTTGCACCCACGTTAAATTGAAATAAGGGGGAAATGGATGATCAAGTTTTCTAAAATTATTTTATATTTCTTTTTTTAGCCAACCGCCATGACCAGTTAGTCTAGATGAAGATGTGTTGTAGTCAGGGCCAAGAAAAATGTTTTATCATGTAGAGAAGACTGGACGAAACAAATGGTTTACTGATCTTTTTATTAATGAACTTTAAAATAAAAACAAGACTCAGAGATTAAATGAGACTACTTTTGTTTACTCATTTAGATGCTGGGCTTATCATTTTCACTTGGTGGACAAATTGGGCGAAACAGTCACATAGACTTGCACAGAAGGAGTGACCCGAGTCATATATAGAGTTCAGAAAGTCATAGAGCTCTTTTGACTTGGATCCGTATAGAACCACCCTAGCAACCACATAGCAACACGCTAAATCCGACTAAAAACCCTAGTGTATTAGTGGCCAGTTTTTCACTGACGAGCAGCGCTCACATTTTCATCCTAAAAATCTAGTGTTGTCAAACTGCTTGTTTATTTTGACTTCAAGAAATATTGTTCAGAGTTAAATTCTTGCGGTGAACTGGTGTGAGAATGATTCAACCTCTCCTTGTTTTCTTTACAAAAGGCCCTTTTTGTTTTGAAGAGAACAATTCGGCATTTGACCGAGAGAAATTCAACTCAAATTGCCAGTGGTCACACTGACTTTAAAAGAGACAATATATGCGCTGCCCCTTGTTCTGACCTGTGGCTGTTTCCTTAAGAACGAACATTTCTAAAATATTTGCAGCTTCCACACAACCAATGTCACTTTCCTGTGATGAATAACATGATAAAGTCATTATTATTGACACATGCTGTTTTAAATGTTACAATCCTGTGTCAAATATCAAAGTGATTCTTAAGCATTTTTGCAGTTTAATGCAAGCAGTTTGAGTGAGAAAACTAATTTAACTGACATTGGCTTTGGACCAGTGTTTCTTTAAGTCTACTGATTGACAACTCAATTACGGTCATGTAGGGTCATGAGCGTTTGCTTCAGGACTGTCAGAACTGAGTGAATAGAATGTATCAGAGCGTAAGCCTGAGGTCGTCAGAAGGGTCAGTCGGCCATAGACGTCCAGCTCACTCTAAAGGAAATCTCACAAATACATTGCTAAGCCTGGGGTTAAAGGTTAGCTCAATGTATTTAGCTCTTCTCACATTCCCATAGCATCGCTTTGGGATAGTTTTGATCCATTCTGACACCTAGAGAGGGAAATATGTTTTGGTTATACTAACACGGGTATCAGGCTTGGTTCAAGTAATTTGACTGTGTATGTGCAAGACTTTTTTTTTTTTTAATTTTTTTAATCTGGATAGTTTTTTGCAACTTACAAAATCACTTTTTTTTAATTCAGCTTTCAGTTCTTTTTTCTAAGGCCTGCTGATTGTATGAGAGCATTCTTCACGACCTTTCTTGCTTCTTTTGAGAGTGTTCTGATTTATGAATCCTGCATGTTCATGGCCTTTGAATTGTCCACAATCATAAACGTCAGCTGGTCAGTTCTTCAAGCAGAAGCCTTTTTTTATTAATGCTAAAGCTGAACAGGTAAGCACCTTGATTTCCCTCTCTTTTATGTATGTATGGATGTATGGATGTATGGATGTATGGATGTATGGATGTATGGATGGATGGATGTTCGCTTGATTTTTTGTTTGTATTTTTTTACTTGTTTCCATGTATTTGTTTTTGTTTGTTTCATTAGCTTGTTTCATTTGCATGTTTCTTTTTTGCTTGTTTGTATTTGTTTAATCTACTTGTTTGCTTGTTTTGTTTTCTTGTTTCGTTTGCTTGCTTGTTCGTATGTATGTTTTGTTTGCATGTATTTGTTTAATTTGCTTGTACCGTATATTTAATTTGCTTGTTTCATTTTCTTGTTTCATTTGCTGTTTGTTTGCTTGTTTCATTTGCTCACTTGTTTGTATTTATTTTGTTTTGTTTGCTTGTTTGTATGTATTTGTATACTCTGCTTTTTTTGTTTGCTTGTTGCATTTGCTTGCTTGAATGTGTTTGTTTTGTTTACTTGCTTTGTTAGCATGTTTACTTTTCTTGTTTCGTTTGTTTGTTTGCTTGCTTGTTTGTTTTGTTTGCTTATTTGTATTTATTTAATCAGCTTGTTTGTTTTACTAGATTTTTTTTTTTTTTGTATTTTCCTACTTTTTTCTAACTGTGCCTTCAGGGAAACTTGAGTTATTTCTGATGCTACATACATAAATATACTAATATAATAAACAACATGAATCATTGGATTATTTACCAACAAAGCATGGAAGAACTGCTAATAAAATTTTAGTGTCTACCTGCACTAGATGAAGTGGGATATTCTAGTTATGGATCTTTATGTAGCTTATGTGTTATCTATTTTTTTTGTCAGGGGAGTATTTAAGCAAAGCTGAAAAATGTGAACTGTGTTCCTCAACCTGCTCAAAGTGCACTGGACCTGAGAGTAAAGACTGCATCAGCTGCCCGTACACCAGGTGAAGTGTGAACAAATCACTTGTTTCTCACAGCACCACAGTCAAATAAAGTCACAGTGAGACAAGATGTGCACTGTGCGGGGAGAGATTTCAGTTTTTATTCTATGGCAGGCTTTTTAATAATGGGACATGTGTGATCCGCTGTGATCCTGGGAAGTATGAAAGGGATGGACAGTGTCATCTTTGCCACCACACATGCCTCGAATGTACTGACGGGGCGCCTGACAAATGTACTCGCTGTAGCAAAGGTAAACTGAGTCATGACTGCCTCACATAACAGAGAAAAATACAAACTTTTATTGTAATTCTTACTCTGTTTCTGTTTTCACACAGATAGATTCGGAGTGGAGCGGTACCTCTTTGAAGGGGAGTGTCGTGAAAGCTGTCCAAAGGGCTATTCCCATTCCTCGAAGGGAACATGTGACCCCTGCCCTCCAAATTGCACTGTGTGTACTTCATCAGGTCATTGTCTCCACTGCACCCCGTCCTACTACCCCAAAGACGGGACGTGTGCCAAACTGGAGTGTGGAGTGGGTCAGTTGCATCATAACTGTTTTAGAATTTTCTCGATTGCTTGCTTGGCAATTTCCATGTTTCTTTTTTCTGATGTTAAGATTCTGGTTAGGTTTTTTTTGGAATGAGAGTGAGGTTTATTTGAAAATTCTTCTGAAAATCAAATTAGTGGTTGAGCTGTAGGCCCAGTGTTAAAAACACATCGTCATTGCCAAAATGTTTTTGTTTGCTTTTTTGCCAGTATTTTTCACCATAATGTTTCCAATGGATGAATCTCACAAAACCGGTCAAGAAATGACCATATAATATTTGTGATATATGATGATGATAATGTGTTTACATCATGATAGCATTTGTGGTGCTGCTTTTTTGCATCAAAATGCATCAACAAACAATAAAAAAGATAAAATAAAGTAAAAACTGTAATATTGTGAAATATTATAATTTAAAAGATTTACAATTTAAAAAATATAAAATTTTATTAAAATGTACAATTTAAAAAACTGTTTTCTAATTGAATATATTTTAAAATGTAATTTATTCCTGTGATGCAAAGCTGAATTTTCAGCATCATTACTCCAGTCTTCAGTGTCACATGATCCTTCAGAAATCATTTCTTATTATCAATGTTGAAAACAGTTGTGCTGATTAATATTATGTGGAATTTGTGACAATGTTTCTTCAGGATTCTTTAATGAATAGAAATTTTATAAGAACAACATTTTTTTTTAAATAGTCTTCACTTTCATTTTTACTGTCATCACTATCATCATTTTTATTTAATGAATCCTTGCTGAATAAAAGTATTAATTTATATAAAAAAGTAAAATCCTACTGACCCCATACTTTTGAAGAGTACTAACACAGTAATTGTATATTGTGATAAAGTAAAAAAAAAAAAAAAGTTATGATTTAATGAATCTATTAAGTCATGAATATATTAAGAGTAATCATTAAAAAAATTACAGGAAGTAAAAAGGGAGTAATGTACTTAATTGTCATGAAAATAGTGTGACAACATGCTAATGCACCTAAAAGTAGAAGAAAATGTACTTTTTTCTTTTGATTTTGCAGTGCAGTTTGACAAGGACATGTTTTCATGAGATTTCACCCCACTAGACAGAAGTTCTTCTCTCTCGTTTTGTTTGCTGTGCTACTTGCATATCTGTAAATCGAACTCTATGGATGTTGTTTGGCTTCTCACGACACCCACTGCTGTTTATCTAATCTTCTTCACAAATTGTTATCACAGTCAAAGATGAGCTGAGCATGAGGGAAGAGCTTGTCTGCAGAAGTCAGACTGAAATAGCACCAGAAATGAAACCGTGGGGGAACAGAAATTCTTATCATTAGTGGCAGACATGTATAAACGGATCCTGTGCTCTGGCCTCCAGGGCTCCCACACACTACTGTGTGCACACACGTAGCCTCTGTATGCTCTTTCCTGTCGTTTTAGACTCACGCACACTCTGTCTTATTATACATGCTAATACAGACATTATCTAGTTTTTATGTACATCTATCTATATGGTGCATTTTCTTTTTCCATGTTAGCGACACTATGAAAGTACTGACTCCTGGTGCGATGCTTGTTCTTCTGTAGGTGAAGTAGTCGACCTTGATCATGAAGACTGTGTACCCTGTGAGGAGGGCTGTCAGCATTGCCTTACCGGTCAGTATATCATTATTTGGATGGATGTGCGCACAACAAGCATTGCTCTTAAAGAAATTAAATGCATCATGTCTTAAGCAAAAAACATCCTTTGCTTAAAGTCTTGAAAACGTCCGATTTGATAGTCTGATAAACATTAGCAGGGGCTAAATTTGTAATTAAACCTGGTTATAATATTTTAGCATTTTAAAAATTAAATTCATATGCACTATTTTGCACTATTTTCTGTTCTTATGTTATTAACCCTATAAAGCCTACTCTATCACTCTATACCACTCTATATTTTGATGCACAAATTTCTAAGGCTTCTAAATGATCAACATGATCAAAACTGCTGAAAACCTGTTGTACACAGTCCACTACATGCCTTCTGTTGTCTGACTTTAAATTGTCAGTAATATTAAAAGACTAACACTTACTGTACTTGAGCAACTTAGGTTTACTTGATTATATTTTTCGAAAAATCATGTTCAAATGTATCAAATATGATGCATCAGGGTTTTTTTTTTACTCTGTTTGGGCCTCTGAATAAAAATGAAGGGTTTTTCCTCCTTGAGTGTGAACTTCATATTCTGTCTATATCATACTATATGAGCCATAAAAGACTGATCAAATATGATACTAAATAAAATAAAAAATCTGACTATTATTTCATATGTCAGGATTTACATGGCTAATTCTTCCTTTTTTTTTTTTTTGTACTTTTTGCTCAGATTATTAGGCTTATAGTTTATTACAAAATGATAAATTACAAAATAGAAGCATTTGACTATTGGTTTGTGATTTGGACCCGTTTCTGCTCTAGATGCAGCAGTAATTTCTATATGCGTGTGTGGGCTACTAGTGCACAAATGATAGGGGTTGTGTGTCTCACCACAGCTTCCAGTATCTCGTTTCATCTGTTGTAATTCTCATAATTAGAGCATGTCTGGTCTGTATCTCAAAATGTAGCAGGCTGCCTGCATAGGCTGCACTTAAAGGCAGTATTATTTGGCATCATGGCTCAAAAAAGTCGTGTGCAAAATGCTGTCTAGGTGAACAATTTCAAGTCAGTGTGTCAAGATCAAAGTTGTAAAGACACCGATAAGTGTCTAAAATATAAATCGCATAAACCGATAAAGTTTCAGAGAAACTTAACATCTTTCCTTCAACAAAAAGATTTGGAAAACACAAAAGCATAATCGGTGTATGTGTAGTGATATTCCGTTTATTGCTGTCGCCCTCTGCTGGTCATTGTAGTATTGCAAGAATAGTGCCGTATTCAAACTGAGAAACAGAGATGTTTAAAGCTTAAAAACGGTAATTTCTCACTCATATCCTCTTGTCATTTGTGCCTGTGCATATTAATTTCTTGCTCTGCAGCAGCTCAGGCAGATAAACAATAAACTTTTTTTTTCTCATGCAGGCTGAAACGCATTGATTGAGTCAAACCAAAAAACTTAAAGGAACACTCCACTATTTTTGAAAATCGGCTCATTTTCCAACTCCCCTAGAGTTAAACAGTTGAGTTTTACCGTTTTTGAGGAGATCAGATGAATGGATTCGAAAACGGTAAAACTCAACTGTTTAACTCTAGGGGAGTTGGAAAATGAGCCTATTATCAAAAATAGTGGAATGTTCCTTTTTAAAGTAGTTGTTTTGTATAAATTCATAAGACAATTTAGTAACACAGCAGTATTACGTTATTGTTTTGCATTTTGACCTCCAGTAAACTGAGAACTGAGTGTGTGAAATGCAGCAATGTCGTCCTCTGCTGGTCACCATAATATCGCAGGGGGAAAAATGCATTTCCAGTCAAAGTTTCTAAATCATTAGTAATTTAAATGAGTGTATTATAGTAATATGAAGAGTGTTTTAACAGTATGTCTTTTCCTTTAGTGAATCCAGAGCATTGCATGGCTTGTTCACCGGACTATTATCAGTATGTCTGTCTCGTGTTTTTTGACTTTGTGACTTCATGAGTAGTTATATAATCGATGTGCTAATGATGTAAAGAGTACGAGATGTTGTATTTCTGCAGGCTGAAATTGAGCTGTCACAAGATCTGCCCTGAGAGGACATTTGAGGACAAGTTGTCAATGAGGTGTGCTCGATGTGATGATCACTGCGAGTCCTGCGATGCCTCTGAATGTTACCTGTGTGAGGAAGGCTTCTTCCTGTCAGGTCAGATCATCTCTCACATGCAAGTCTGTATGAGCATTCAGGTTTTGTGTCTGTACTGTATGTGTGCGCCGTGCCTTTGAACGAGCCTCTGGGGAAACAGCATGAGTTTTGATGTACTTACAGTACATGAGGAGAGACAGATGTGCTGTTGCCAGTCCTGGTATTTGCTTTGCACTATTTTGACTGCTCAGTTACAGATGTAGAGAGGCACACGGCTAGTTTAGGTTTATGTTTGAAAGTCAGTTTTTGTGTAAAGTCTTGGCTACAGAAAAATCGTTTCCATATCAGCATATTTCCACCATTACTACACATGGAGAGAAAAAAAAAAGGTAAATGATCATTGAATATATATTGAGCCTTTGTGACAACATGCCCCAGTTATGTATGCAACAGGTAATTTGATGTTCGGGTAATCTAAACAGAAGCTGGTTTTGACATGTGCACACATACTGTATGGCATATAGAGTATATATATATATAGAGTTAGCATAGATTAGAATTTTTAGTTCATTTTTATTTGTCTTATGTTATTTAGTTAATTTGTATTTTTAATTTAGTTTTCATGAGTTCTCGCTATATTATTATTAGTTTTAAGTTTTTCAGAGTTTCTTAGTTTCAGTTATTTAATTTTTTTTATAATAGAACATCAAACTCATAAGCTGTTTTAGTTTTAGAGTCAGGAAAATGTATTTGTTTCAGTTTTTCCTTGGTATATTAGTTTTTATTTTTATTTCAGTTAACAACATTGTTTTTTATTTAGTTTGTTTTAGTTTATGTTAACAATAATTGCACTTTTATACATTTTTAAATTGCAGAGAAAACAGTGTTTTTTGTTTACTTTGTTTTCCATTTTCATGTTTTGTTAATTTGTTTTTTTTTCTCAAGTTTTTTTGTTTCAGTTGATTTAGATTTATTTGTTTTAATATTTTAGAGCTGCCAAAGTTAATGAGCAATCATTTAAAATGTTTAGCTGTGTTAAATGTCTGTCTTATTGCTGTAGAGTGGCATTTTAATGTTTTATGCAGACCAATTGAGAAGATTTATAATACATCTCATAAAGTGTGTTTTAGTTTTCGAGTCATGAAAATGTATTTTAGTTTTCCCCCCAGACGTATTAGTATTTACTTTGTTTTCATTTTCATAAACCGCAGTATTATAGCAGTTAGCATTCATGCATTAGCTCAATGGTGAAATATTGAACCCTCATTTAAGCCTCCACCTGCCTAAATATCCGTCTATTTACTGCAATCATGTGTTACTGCAGATGGCACATGTGTAAAAACCTGTAAGGAGGGTTTCTATGGTGACATGAAGCAGGAGTGCGAGCCGTGTCACCACACGTGCCGATCATGTGGCGGTCCGGACAATAACGACTGTGATTCCTGTGAAGATGACATGTTTCTAGACAAGGGTCAGTGCATCCGCAAGAGCAAGATGAAGTGTCCTGACGGAAAATTCCTAAACGGTACAAAACTTTATATTCTGGAATTAATTTCAATAATTCATTATTTTAATAAAAAAGTCAACATGAGTTATATTATGTTATATTGATTTTAAAGACACTGGAAATCTTTTACAATAAGTGTGATTGTTTGTTTATTGATTGTGTGTGTGTGTGTGTGTGTGTGTGCAGGTAAGGGTGAGTGTGAGCAGTGTGATTCCTCCTGTAGGATGTGTTCAGGGCACGGGGAACACCAGTGTGATTCCTGTCAGGAAGGTGAGTGAACTTCTGTAGTGCCGTCAGTCTACTTGTTTCTCAGTATGCATGTGCAGAAAGACATTATGAATATAGTAGTAATCTTTGTCAGATGTTGTCAGCTGGAATCTACATGCGTGTTTGTATGTCTACACAGGCATGTTTCTCAGCAACAGCCAGAGGTGTGTGTCCGTTTGTCCACGTGAGACTCATGGGAACCAGACGAGTGGGCGCTGTGAAGACTGTTCAGCAGGCTGTTTGACGTGTCAGGACGCACATCACTGTGTGAAATGCAAAGAAAGCTTTGGTCCGCTCTACTTGCAGGATGGCAAATGTGTTGCTGAGTGTAAAAGGTGAAAAATGTTCTTTCAAAACACACAAAATGCTACACATTCACACGCATGGTCTCATGCACACACAGGCTGCATCCCAAATTGTACTTGTCACTGTAATTTATTCAATGTTTGTTTTATCTATGTTTTATTTAATTACATTTTATTTAATTTTTTTTGTTAATTTTTATTTTGCTTTCTTTTCTTTTCCTTTCTCACATTCTTTTGTTGTGTTTTGTTTTTTAAGGTTTTTTAATTTATTTTTAAGTTCATTTTTTATTTTCAAGTTGTAGAGAAAATACTGTTTTATTTTTATTTTATTTGTTATCATTTCATTTAACACTGTCAACGTTTATATTTGTAGAGAAAATTCAGTGTTTTATTTATTTTTATTTCATTACATTTTATTTATTTATTTATTTCCCCCTTTCTCACATGTTGTGTTCTGTTGTGTTTTGTTTTGTAACTTATGTAATGATGAAATTTAAAGTAATTTAAATTTGTAACAGTACACAAAAAATGGTTCTGCAGATCAAGACTTTTATTGTGCGTGACTATAACACCCGTATAATACTAATTTTGAATACTGTAATACTATTTTAGTAATCCTAAAATAGTAACTTTATATTTTGATTGATTTTATTTTATTTTATAAGTCTTACAACCTATTTAGTTGTAGAGAACATGCAGTGTTTTATTTATATTTTGTAATATTTATTTTAAAAGTGTCAACTTTTTTAGTTGTAGAGAAAATGCAGTTTTTTTTATTTTAATTGGATCTTATTTTATTGTTTTGTTTTTTGGTATCTTGTGTTCTGTTGTGATCTTTCTTTTCCAGAAATTATGTGATGATGAATTTTAAAGTAATGAATTTAGCTAAAAGTGCAATTGTTCTGTGGATCAAGACTTTTATTGAGTAGCACTATAATATCTGTGCAGTATCTTGTTCAAACTCAAAAATATGTACCATTACCAGCAAGGTACGTACTTTTAGTTGAAGCATGGAAGCTGGAACACAGCCATACATTAACAAAGATCTTATAATTTCTGTGTCATTCTCACAGGGGTTACCCAGAGGCTGATGTTTGTCTCAGCTGTGCCGTGGGATGTGCTTCATGTGAGGGGGAAGCCAATTTTTGTCTGAGCTGTGAGGAAGACTATGTGCGTTTCAAACACACCTGTGTGCATCAGTGCCCTTCCAAGCACTTTATAAAAGATGGAGTATGTGAGATCTGTCCAAATGGTTGCGCTGCATGTGACCAAACGGGCAAATGCAGTGGTGAGGTTCTTAACATTATTCATCACCGACTGACATTTTGTAATAATAACCACTAAACCGTATAATACACTAAACTGTTGTCCCAGGCTAGTGATTTCCTACACAGCTACACTACTGGTCAAAAATTTGAAAAAATATATATTAAAAAATATATTTTTGTAAGAAGTCTCTTATGCTCACCAAGTTTGCATTTATTTGATCAAAAATAAAACAGTAATATCATGAAATATTATTACAAGTTTAAAAAAAACTTTTCTATTTGTGAATCATTTCAAATGTAATTTTTCTCAAAAATTTGAAAAAATATATATTAAAAAATATATTTTTGTAAGAAGTCTCTTATGCTCACCAAGTTTGCATTTATTTGATCAAAAATAAAACAGTAATATCATGAAATATTATTACAAGTTTCAAAAAAACTATTTTCTATTTGAAAATCATTTCAAATGTAATTTTTCTGGAAACTGTGATACCATTTAAAACATTTGGGTAAGATAAAAAAATACTTTTATTCAGCAAGGATGCATTAAATTGATCAAAAGTGACGGGAAAGACTTTCAGAATATTACAAAATATTTCCGTTTCAAATAAACGCTGTTCTTTAGAATTTATCAAAGGGTCTTAAAAATGCATAACAGTTCAATATTGATAATATTAAGCACATTTTTTTTAGCTGATTGCCAATAATAACTGAAATTAATTGAGCAGCAAATCAGCATATTAAAATGATTTCAGAAAGATCATGTGGCACTGAAGACGTTAATAATGATGCTGAAAATTCAGCTTTACCATCATAGGAATAAATTACATGTTATGTCGAGAACAGTTATGTTAAATCACAATAATATATGTTTTTACTGTATTTCTAATCACATAAATGCAACCTTCGTAATCATATTTATCAAGTTCCTTTTTCTTCTCTCTACACTGAAGTTTGGCATTACCTCTCTGAAACTTTGTGTTTATTCTTTCTCCTGCTCTCTCAGCGTGTGAAGAGTACTACTTCCTGCATGAGGATCAGTGTCTGGGTGACTGTCCCAAGCGGTACTTCACAAACGTAGAGCAGAAGCTGTGTACGCCGTGTCACAGTGACTGTGCAGAATGTGATGGACCTGATGAAGATGATTGCACCTCCTGTGGGCATTATGGAGATGTTCGTCACAACGGAAAGTGTCTGTTCCAATGCCCGCCAGAAACGTACCTGGACGGAGCAGAGTGTCGAGGTACAATACATATTCTCCTTCGTTTATGGGTGAAATGGCCTCAGATTGGCAGGATAGTGTTGGACAATTTCCTACACTGCTTTTCAAAATTTTGAATAATTAATTTTTTAAGTATTTTTGAAAGAAGCCTCTTATGCTCAACAAGGCTGCATTTATTTGATCAAAAATACAATAAAAACAATACTATTGTGAAATAATATTATTATGATTTAAAACATCTGTTTTCTATTTGAATACATTTTAAAATGGAATAACATTCACCCGATCATGCTAACATTCTAGTCATATCATACCTGCTTGCTGACTGTTTTTAGAGTGTGATAAGTCCTGCCTGACGTGCTCGGGTCCTCATCCGTCCTCCTGCCTCACCTGTAGAGCCAGCATGAGGAAGGATGTGAATGGCCACTGCCAGTTCTTCAGTGACTGCTCTCTGCACACGTTCACCGATAAGGACAGCCAGTGCAAGCCCTGTCACAAGAGCTGTCTCCGCTGCTCGGGCACAAGCAAAGAGCAATGCCTCAGCTGCAACCCCAAACACTTCCTGCTCAGTAAGAGCCCACCTGCCCACCACATGTCATTTCCCTATGAAACTGAGCTTTAATGACATTTAGTATAAAGAAAGTTCAACTTAATCAGAGCTTTGCTGAAAAACCTGTTGTACACAATCTACTACATGCCTTCTGTCATTGATAGTTACTTGTAGTTTTGTAGCCCCAAACTCTTCCTGTTCAGTAAGAGCTGACTTGCCTGACAGATTTCATTTTGCTAGAGACTATGAAAGTGAACATCTCTAAAAATGTCCTTGAGAACCTATGAATTATCACTTCATTTACGCTCAAATCTAAATAAAAGAAATTAAGTGAAATTACTAGTTCATCTTGCTAGCTGTCTGAAGAGCTGTACTGATTAATAATAATGGAAATGCACTGTTATACATTAGTCATACATGCATGATGTAATGTCTTGTACACGTTATTTCTGCCATTTGTCAGAGCAGACGTGTGTGTCCACGTGTCCGGATGGTTACTATGTGGACGAGGCCAAGCAGGAGTGTGTTCAGTGCCACGTGAACTGTGCGTCATGCCATGGACATCACAGTAATGACTGTACAACCTGTAAACCAGGCCTGCTTCTGCTCGGACACAGCTGCTTCACCACCTGTCCACCAAGGTATCATATCAATTACTGTATTTATTGTTTATTTTTATGTATTTATTTATTTACTTACTTTTATTGTTTAATTTAATTTAATTTTAATAAATGTAGTTTTTATTATCCTTATAAATGTAGTTAATTTAGATTAATTTGCAATTATTGCTAAAGTAAGAATCGAGTTTGAATGCAGTGAAAATAAAATCAAACGCATTGCAACAGGACTGTGGAAAGCCTGTGTGTCATTGAAGTATGTCGTTTTTATAAATTAAACTAAGCCAGAAAATCGGATACATAATGAGAAAGATTCATGTCTTTGAACTCTTTCACCTCTAGAATGCAGCACATATGGGCACCATGTCTTATAAGTTTAGGTACTTTAAGACAGAGGTCCCCAACCACCGGGTAGCGACCCACTACCGGGCCATGGAAGAATTGCTACCGGGTCGCAAGAATGTTCTGGGAAAAATGTGTATAGATATGACACTCTGTTATTTATTTATGTTAATGATTGTTCTAATTATTCTGTATTTTCTTTGTATGTGATTGATATGGAGTAGCAATTTGACAATTTCACGTTAAATAAGTAAATAAAATAAAAATTACTTAAAAAAACATATTAGATCGCAGTTGATCCGTAATACGTACGGATGAGACCCTACCGTTTGGCACGTATGTGATTCGCAGATTAATTTGCCAATTTACAATTACAAGAAATTTTAAACCACAAGAAGAAGAAACGAAAGAGAGTTCAATTCGTTACTCACACGCTGTTCTCGCACCAGGGGTGGATTTAGTGAATTGGGGGCCCCAGGCAAAATATAGAAATGGGGCCCTATACATTTGCACACATTTTCCTAGATCAACCTTGAGGTTCCTTTTTTGTTGTGATGCTTGCTGCTGCACAATGGTGCCCCATAGTTGTGTCCAATGTTTCTACATTTTTCATGTACATGTTATAATGGCTTTCTTTCATGTTGTA